TGGGCCTTAGGACTTCAGCAGATTTTTTGGGGGGGGGGCAATTTAACCCATAACACCATCTATAGGAGTAGAACTTTTGTCATGCTGTTTTCTTCACCTAAGAGGGAATTTTCTTCCCTGCAGTCTCCTTGAAAGAGAAGCAAATCAGCAGGATATTTGCTCATGTGGAGGTTTAGTGATTGCAGAAAAGTCTGGGGCAGTGCTTTGGGCTATACCCTGAAGCCCCATCTCCTTCACCCTCTGTCCCCCAGCTACTTAGAATTGAAGTCAGATGTCCCAGACCAACTGGAAGGTCTGTAATGGGAACTTCAGTTCTATCCCTGGGCTCTATGAGCTTATTTTTTCAGCCACCCAGTTGTGTGGAAGAAGCTCTGAGTTGGGCAGGTTAGAAAGATTTTCAGTCCAAGAAGAAGAGGTTTTTTAAAAAAAAAATGTTTGTTTTGCTCAGTGCATACCCAATCAGAAAAATCACAGGCTAGGTCTTAATGGATTTTAACTTTAGCAAAGAAATAAGGAACAAATTTGATCACCCCTGGTCCTATCTGATATTTTGAGGGTCCACCTGTGATCTACCTTGAGCAGACCTTGCGTTCTTATGGTGTTGGACTTCATGTAACAGGTGTGCTGGCCAAATCTAGTTAGATCCTGGCTTTGTGTCGTGGTTGTATGAAAGTATAAGCTACTGAGGAAGCTGGCATATGTTCTTCATTGGAGTCACGTTAGGGACCTGATCTAAGCCCCATCACGTGACCTAAGGTTTTTGGTAAGGCCAGTATGTCCATTTCAATTGAAATGCCTGATCTAGCCAATGTACTGGGTTTTTTGTATACCTATGAGACTTCATTTCAAGGCCTTCGATTCAAAGGCTTCATTGTAAAAGGAGTTAGCTATTTGCTATGGACTGAATATTTGTGTCCCCCCAACCTAAGGTTTTTGGTAAGGCCAGTATGTCCATTTCAATTGAAATGCCTGATCTAGCCAATGGACTGGGTTTTTTGTATACCTGTGAGACTTCATTTCAAGGCCTTCGATTCAAAGGCTTCATTGTAAAAGGAGTTAGCTATTTGCTATGGACTGAATATTTGTGTCCCCCCCAAATTCATATGTTGAAATCCTAACCCCTAATGTGATAGTATTAGGAGGTGGGGCCTTTGGGAAGTGATCAGGTCTTGAGGATGGAGCCCTCATGAATGGGATCAATACCTTAAAAAAGAGGCCCCAGAGAGCTCTCTTGTTCTTCTGCTATGTGAGGACGCAGCAAGCAGGCGCCATCTGTGAACTGGAAAGTGGTCCTCCCCAGACATTGAATCTGCCAGCACCTTGATCTCAGACTTCCCAGCCTCCAGAATTGCAAGAAATAAATTTCTGATGTTTATAAGTCACCCTGTCTATGGTATTCTGTTATAGCAGCCTGAACTAACTAAGACACTGTTCAAAACCACAATTATGATTTCAGCATATCATGGCTTCTTAAAATTCTGATACTGTACATGGTCACCTACTCACAAAGTCCACATGCATGCTGTAGAAGTGTTGGGTGTTTTAGATGAGTAGCCTGCGGACAAATGCTCATCTGTATTTCTGTTTTCTTCTATCAATTGCCCCATTTCTCCATCCGTGACACCTTCTACTGAGTTATATCTAGAGCATGTTTTCCCATTGCTGGTGGAGTCATCCTGGACCTGGAAGTATTCGTTTCATCCTCTGGTGATGTATTTTGCTCACTACTAAAGGAGCTGCTCCTGTATCCTCTGCAGATTCCTTCAGAGGCCAACACATGTAGAAAAAAGATCCCTTCTCTGGGAGGAAGTGAATGGATTGGATCAACCTCTGTCAAGGATGTTCTTATAGTAGGAAAAAAATTCTCACAATAAGTGTATATTCGTAGCCTGGAAATGTCTTGATTGCAAAACAGTGCTGTGTCTGCTGCAATTCTGATTCATTCACACACACGCGCAGGGAAAACCATGTGTTCAGAGCACTGAACATTGGCACCTTGGGGTTTAATCCATGGCACGAGGCTGGAAGTTGTCACCTCAGTGTTATTTTCCTTGAATAAAATCAGAAACTTGTGGAAGTTTAGGATTAAATAAATGTATAATCTCCTAGAACATTATTTTTGTTTCCTTTTCCAGTTTTTTTTTTTCTTAAAAAAT